ATAAGCCCTAGAAATTCAGGTTTTAATTATGGAAACTTAGGAGACATGAGCTGCTAGTCTCGCACCTCTTACCTCTGGCCCTGTGGAATTATAAGCAGGCTATGCCAGAATCCTTCACTACCTGGTTACAGGCTAGTGGACAACATGACATTTTGCTTGGAAATGATATAGGATAATATGATGGAAAATAACTGTGCATTTTCCATTGTGCTTCTCCTGTATGGCTATAAATAAGTTGAATTGTGCTCCCTTGATTTATGTTTATGACTATTATTATGATGATTTATTTTGGGTTGAGTGCTGACAGTGTGCTGAGTGCTATACCAGACTCATAAGAAGAAATGGTTATGCCCCAGAGGCTAACATACCAAGACAAACAATTCAGCCATAAAGTACACCAGCTAAGAGATGCTTCGTCTCAGCAGAGCAATGCTTCTTGAAGTTTATATGTAGGTGGAGAAAATTTCCTCCTTCTGAGGGAAGAAGGTTAATGCTCTTTGAAAGACTTTGAGTCCAGTTCCAATAGAGATTTCATACAAGGGTAGAGACACAGGAAAGTGCATGCTCTGTAGCACAGTAAAGGCAATGGTTGATGGAGGGTCCCCAGCAGACAAACAGTCTGGTTCTGGGTTAAGCATTGTGATTATAAGACTGCCCTTCAAGGGACAAAGTCTATGGTCCAAGGTAGATCCAGTATGCTACTCTCACTATTACAACCATCTTAAACCCATTCTAGAATACTATAGGATGAGGACATCCAAATATTTAGGCCAGTGATTCAAAATGCATATTTTCAAGAGCACTTGATTTGGAGGATATTATTAAGTTTGACAAAACCACACATTTGTGGACAAATAAACTTGAGAAGTACTGTGTTTAAAAGAGCTTTTAAGAAGGATCTCAGATGGGGAACTTATTACTATTATTTAACTGAATTGACACAGCATTAAACTGCCTTCTAAATATCTATACTTATACCTATAGACAAAAGCTGTCCTAGTCTTAGAGAAGCCTCTCCTTATACTCAAAAGCAGTGAGGGTAGAGATTCATGCCTGCCCAAGAAACAGACAATGTGTGATGCCTGTGGGCTCAGCCCTACACAACATACTCACACCACCTCCTCTTAAGCTCAGGGAACACTGCAGAAGAAAGGGCTGACTGGAAGTTTTTAAGAGCTGGAATGTAAGGCTGCAAGACACCATCCTCTTACCTTGATATAGCCATTGTAATCTTTAACTCACAACTGTGGTCACCTGCACTGGGTGCACACAAGACTGACCCTATCAATGGTCAGTCATGCAAGGGGAATGGTTTACGGGGCCCTACCCTTTACTGCTGAACTATTGACTATTGTTAGGTTGGGGAGGAGGAAATCACTGTCTCTAGTTCTGGACCACCAGGCTACAACAAATAGCTCCCATGGTCACACAGATGGCCCCTGTAAATTCAGTAGGTCATAAAACAAAAATGTATAGACACGAACATGAGACAGGGTTGGTAGGGAGATGGGAGAGCATGGAGGGATGATACTGCCAGTATACATTGTGTTCATATGCGAAATTATCTAAGAATAAATTTAATTAATAGAGGGTCTAGAATGATGGCTCAGCAGTTAATAGCACTGGTTGCTCTTGCAGAGGACCTGGGTTTGAATCCCAGTACCCACATGGCAGTTAGCAACCATCTGTAATTCCAGTTCCAGGGAATCTGATGCCCTCTTCTGACCTCACAGGCATTGCATGACACAGGTACACTTATACACATACAGGCAATACACAAATACACACATAAATGATAAATAAAATATTTTAAAATTTTTAACTAATCGAAACAAAAAGATCTCTAATACAAGAATTGACAGAGGCATCAATTGAACCATTTAAAAAAGTGTCGATTTTTGAGTTTCAAGACAGAAAAATTCTGGTTAGAGCCCTTCATAGGACTAGTACTCTGGGATACACACACTGGGAATCCCCAAGTTTGGTTAAAGAGAAAATAAATTGAACTTCCAAATTGTTTCAACCATGATGGCTTGGCAGAGTTCTTTGTTTCCTGATTCAAGTACTGTACAGGCACATTGTACCTTGTTGTTTCCACCAGCTAAGCAAGGTACAACTCCCCCACTTTACCTTCTAAGCGTTGTTGGAAAGACCAGAACATCAGTAGAATGATGCAAAATAAATGAGTCTACCCATCTGTGGCAGCCAGCCTCCCCACTGATTCCTGCCTCCTGGTTTCCTGCCCTGGGGTACTTTCTTACCACAATAAATAGAGCTGACTTGTGGGCCTGACAGAGTCTGACAAGTGCCAAGCCTAAGTCACGAAAAACATTACAGTTTCTAGCTTGCTGTTTTGTTCTGGGGAAAGCCAGCTGTTGTGCTGTGAGACCACTAAGCAGCCCCATGGAGGGATACACGTGATGAAGAACGCAGTGCCTACAGTACATCAGTGAGTCTTCTCGGAAGCATTAAGTCAAGTTTTCAGATCACTGTAGCTCAGCCAACATCGTGACTGCAACCTCAGACCTTGAACCAGGGCCACCCACAAATGCTCCCAAATTTTTAACCCACAAAAACAATGTGAGATAGTAGACATTTATTGTTTTAAGCCCTGATGGAGATAATTTGCTACATGGTAATAGATAATAAATTCAACGTTACAGTTTTTTGTTTTATTTAATTGTTTGAGACAGGGTCTCCAGTAGCTCAGGCTAGTCTGATCTTCTGTCTCCATCTCTCAAGTGCTAGGATCAGAGGTATGTGCCACCACACCCACTTCATTTGGTTTTGGGGATCAAACTCAAGGATTCGTGCATGCTTGGCAAGTTCTCTACCATTTAAACTCCAGCCCCGGGTCCCCAGGTCATCTTAGATTTTTCCAAGATTTCAAATATTCTGTCTTGCTGTGCAGCCATGTATCCTAATTTGGAAGTCTGAAATTTTTGATCACTACAGAGACTGCCTTGTACACAGGGCTTGAGTCACTGAATCTCAATCAATACCAAAGATGAAAGGAGCTTTCAATGAAAGATCTGCATGTCCCTGTGAAATATACTCCAGTTACTGAGCATTTCTACTTCCTACAAGAAGCAGGCTAACTTCTGAATGAACTGATAAATCACGGAGATAACCTCCCAGACCTCTGGAAAACAAGTCCAGTGACCACACCACTGGGAGTCAGAAAGTGGCCTGTACTTCAAAGGCAGGCACTGATACAGTCTTCCCTCTGATGTGACAAAAGTAGAAAGACTGAGGCTTTTATACTAACTGATGTGAGGGGGTACCCTGTGGAATATTAGATACGAGAGAAGCAAACAGTGTCCAAGGATGAAAACAAGATTGAGAAGAAGAGAAACAGTACAAAGGGTCTGAAGGGAGCCATGTGGGGATATGAGAACAGTACAGGCAGAAGAGCCTGCAATCAAGATAATAACATAGCAAGTGGGTCTAGGAGGGCATCCTCTAGAGCATCACAAGGAGCCTATAGAATGGAGGTGAGGAAAGGACAGAGAAACTGTGGAAAGATGAAAGGTTCCCTGATCACACAAGCACACAGAAGAAGCAGACTGACTTGGGAGGAATAAGGAAGGATAAACTAGGCAAATGCCTAGCAGTGGTCTATAGGCCTACAAGAGCAGCATGCTCCAAAGAGACTGTGAGATAAGTGACAGAATAACTGAGCAGAGGGAGAAGGTTGTATCTAAGCTGTGAACTCGGGGGTGGGGGGAGTAGAAGAAGAGAGACAGAATTATGTAGACTTTTTGCCTGGAACCAATTACATTAGTCAGCTTTCCACCACTTTAACAAAATACCTCAGATAATTAACTTATCAAGAAAGCAATGGCTCACTATTTTAGAGGTTCTAGTCCATGACCGACTGGCCTTGTTGCTTTAAGAGGCAGAAAACACATCATGGTAGTAGCAAGTAGTTGAGTAAAATCCCTCTCATGGTCAGCCAAGGAAGAAAGACAAAGAGAAAGAGATTACAATCCTTCAAGGACATATCTCCAATGACGTAAAGCCGTCTGACTAGGTTACACCTTTTGAAGGTTATACCATCTCCCCATAGTGTTATTCTGGGGACCAAGCCTTTAACACATAGGCCTTTGGGGTAGATCCAATATCCAAACTAAAACACTACATCTCCCATTAGGAAATTTAGGCAACACATGTCTATATAGCTGAATGTGGACTTCTGGATAGAGAATTAAAACATCGGAAAATAGCCCAAGACTCTAAGGAGTGTGGGTCTGACACAAGAGTGGGGGCTGCTTACGTGTGCACCAATCTACTTTCATAATCTTTTCCTTTACATTAGCAATCTTTAACGAATTCTGTACAAATAAGTTGGAATTATTTTCTCCCATTGCACCAGATCCAGAAATAGCCCATGACCAATGATCCATTACTGCTGCCGGTAGAAATAAATTTACTTGAAACTTTGCAACAGGCTCAGTACACAGCCTTGCCCATGGAAACGCACGTAGCAGTAATCAGTATTCCTCTCCAGGCCTGGACCTGGTGGATAATTACAATTAAGCTTCAATGGATTAGCTGCCAGCAGGACAGTAGATAGTGAATGGTATTTTACATCTCTACTTTTTCTTTTTCAGCAAATTTGGTCATGTGGGTTATTTTGTTTTTGTTTTTCCTTCCTCCACTAAAAGCAAAAAAGTTATTTCTAATTAATTTAGGAACTCACCAAAATTACTGAAGATTGTACCATTCCCCGTGGCAAGATGAGTGAGGTGCAGAGTGATTCTCCTCATTGTGTCAGAAACACAAGGGTCACTCACATTACTCCCAGAGCCTCTAGTTTACATTTTTCAATTAGGAGATAATCAGTGTGCCATTATGAGTAAAAATTGTTGGAATGACCTTTTGGCTGTCTATTTTAGCCAGCAAATCTGTGGGGAGGGTTTGATTGAATGTGTGACAGGGGAACAAGGCAAGTTCTACTGATGATAAATAAGAACAATTATCATGCTTATTATCTGATAAATAATTTATTGTGATCTGCCATTAATCCATCTCAAGCCACCCCCTGAATGAAAACACCCTGAAGACTGACTTCTTCAGTGTTCCCACGACGTGTCAGAAACTCTTGTCTGGAAAGCACAAAGGAAGCATTTACCTGGAATAGAAAGAGCTGTCACTGCATGCTTGATCATTTTAATCGGTGCAGATAAATTATGCCCCTTATATAAATGGTAAATCAGAACTTCTCACTCAGCTTTAAAAAGGAAATCTTCAAGAAACTATTTAGAGGAGACGCAGTGGCCCAACACTTAGAGTCTGTTTTGTTTCAAACCCTATCTTCTGTTCTTGCTAAAAGCCATCAGCCTGATCATTTTAGTCAACATCTAAAGCATATTCTTAATTTCAGAGAGTATGTCCTATTGCAATAGAATAAATAAATTCTTTACAGCACTCCAGAAATGCAAATGGTAAGGATTAGCCAGAACTATAAAAATGATTCCAAATGTTGGAGATCCATGTGGCAAATGCTATTTCTTCTAACTCATTCTGGGTCTGGTAATTCTGATGGGCAAATGTTCAAAACTCTGGTGCCAGGTAAGTATGACAGACAGAACTTTAGGATATACAGGTCATAATTCCCTTCAGACTTCCTCTATTGATATCTTGAAAAATAATTACAATACTATTTTCCCTTTTGTGTTCTCATACAGGGACCCCATCCTTTTTTCTTTTTTAATTTTTGTCCTTTGTCAAACATAGACTTTTTTGAAGTAAATAATTTGATCTTTTGATTGTTTCTGATGCCAAACAAATATTCTTGGTTGGATTTTGCTCCCTCACGGCTTTTTCTTTTCACAGTCTCAGTCACTGCTTTTCTTCTATTTACTTAGCCATCCTACTGATAAGCTTGGCCTTATTCCACAGAATTCCAGGAAAATTCTAATCAATACAATATTAATATTGGGCAGAAATCCACGTTTCATTATTGGAAAACACAAACTGGAATTACCTGTTGTGGTCTTACCAGCAAGGGAACTAAATTTGGCCCTGAGAAGTTAGAGGATTCTCATCTCTAGCGTCATGTATTTGGGGAAAAAATTAAGCTATTTTTAAAGCACTGTTGAGAATGTGATTATACAACCGTTCAAGCAATTTGACATCCTCAGAGCCAGGAAACTCTTCCTCATAGCTACCGAATCCCTCCAACTACAACAGAAGCCCGGTTTAAATTTGATTTTAGCATGGGGATGTTCACTGGTTTCCTTTATTCCAGACAGAGGTGTGGTAATGAGGACAAGGTACCACAGCATCCTTACCACCAGTGTTTTCTCAGCAGTAAAGGAGCCAGGAAATGGCTTCTTGGCAGGTATTCTTCACTCGGTGCCATTTAACCAAATCAATTTAAGGATTAAAAGATATATTTAAGCACAGGGTTCAGAGGTTCCAATCCACGGTAACTTATCCCCATCGCTGTGGGCCAGTGGTGAGGCAGAGCATCATGGCAGAGAGGGGACAGTGGGATACACCAGCTCACTTCATAGCGCCCAGAAACAGAGACAGACTGAAGGGGCCAGGGATACAATATACTACCTCAAGGGTGTGACCCCAGTAGCCCATTGCCTATTATCCTATTCCTCTGTGAATTCATCCATGGATTAGTCCACTGATTGGGTCACAGCCCTCATGATCCAATCACTACTCAGCAATGGAGCCACCAGATAAAGAGCAACTCCTCAACACATAATTCTTTGGAAGGACATTTCAGTTCTAAACCATACTACTCAGAGTTAGAAGATCTTTTATCCACTATGAGGAGGTGTGCCAGGTTCAATACTGTAGCCCTCATCTAGAGCAGCACTGAAAGACCCCAGCCCCACGTGTCTTGTGGAGCACAGCAGCAGAACGGAGAATGATGACTGCCCTCCGTAGTGATATAATCTTAAGTGATGGGTAGGATTCTAAAATACACTTAAGGTTCAGACAAGAAGGTGCTTTTCCTAATATAAACGGTCTCTAATACATCATATATAAGTCACAGAACCTCCCAGTATAGAATCATAAGTATTTCAAGAAAGCTTAAAAGACTGAAAAAAATATATATCTGCAGTTTCCTCTTGTCTGCCATGAGAAATAGATGCCACTAATGCAAATCAGGGCAGTTGGAGATCTTGTGACAATGTAGTATTCGGTATTTAAATGCCAGAATCATGAAAACTCACAGAGGGCAAATCTTTTCTTTCTTTCTTTCTTTCTCCTGTGTCTCTCTACTTCACACATGTGTGTCTGTTCTTCTGGCGAACATGGTCAGACCACTCAAATCTAGGGCTGAAAATGATAAAGAAGCAGTCTCTCAAATTTTCATGTGCATTTCTTACAGGTATGTTCCTCTTTTTCAGAGATAATTTACTTTGAGACTCAGTATCTAAATCTCTCCTTCCAGAAGCACTGTGGAATTTGGTTAAGTAACACTAGACAAAGCTTAGCTGAATGCAAAAGGGCAGGGTTTTGGTTTGAAACAAATCCAAATATGGCCCTTCTGCCACAAAGCTTGAGATGGAATCTTCCAGCACTCCCTACCAGGCAGAACAAATCTCGTAGTTCCAGATGCCTTCCTGGCCTCCCAACTTACCACCTGTGGTTTGGATCTAAGCAAACAGAAAACTAAAACAGGAGACAAATTACCAGAAAATCTCTTAGGCATCCATCCACAAATACTAGGAGCCAAGGGAAATAACCAGGAAGGTCTTGAAGTGATGCTACCAGAAAGGGAATTATGATCTGGTTGGCATCAGTGAAGCTGTTGGGATAAATCAAATGAGTGAAATGTCAATACTGAGGAATGCAATCTGTGAAGAGAGGACAAAGAGGTGGGAAAGGAGGGCTTGTGCTATAGATCAAGGAGAGCTAGACTTGCAATGAAATATAGATGGATGATAAAGGAAGTAGCAATGCTGAAGCTTTATGAGTTAAGGTAGAAGAAATATATGAAATAAAGGGGAATTAGCAGTGAGTGTTCTCTGTGCACTACTAAATCATGATGAACTCACTGATAAATTACTGTACAGGGAAAAAAACAGATATCATGTCCCCATAAATAAATAAAATGTATCATGCAGTACAAATTGCAATGCTCATGCCTCACTTCTCCCTGCTGCACCTTCTGAACTGGCCTGGGATTCCTCTCTGCCTTTTCCTCCTCTGACTCTCAACTACGTATGGGTGCTAAGATCCCTGTTTAACGTCTCACTTTTGAGTGAATGACAGTGCTCTTGGTTTGGGTCCCTTAGGTCCCAGAGGCAGTCTCTGACCCCTCTGGAGTTTAAAAACATAGTATAAATAAAGCAAACATAAGTAACATGCTAAGTGACAAGATCACAAAACTCTGCTACTCTAGATTTCAATTACCAAGACATTTTTTAAGGGATAATAATTTTTTTAAAAAAAGAACAAAATGCAGGTCAACCAGGAATTTTCAGAGCTGCATTGCTGTTAGTAGCTTGTTTCACAAAGTGGAAAGGGCAGCTGCAGGTGAGGTAATTTGGGCCCACTCACGACTCATAAGGAAGAAACAATCAGGAATCTTGAGGTGAAGGGCACTTGGGAGCCTGACCTGATTCTATTTGCTATGCCTGATTTGTGCAACTTCTCCCAGATACACAAAATAGGAAAAAGGTGAAGCCATAAGAGGGAATTCTACCCTGAAAGTTAAAACTCACCAGGGAAAAATCTGTGGCGCAAAATTACACTGTGAAATGTCATTCTCTAAAGGGCTTAAACAAGAAGTGTGATAAATGTTATTACTCTGCAGTGCCATAAGGGTGTTGAGGACTCAATCACTGCTCTGATTTTGCCCAACAAGTGCAAGAAGGCAGTTATAGGAAAACAGATCCTGCTCCAAAGAGCTTTCAAGGCCAAAGGCTGCTAGGGAGAAGCAAAATGGGAAAGTCACTAATATGGCCATCAAACGCACAAATAACCTGGGTTCATCATGACCTTCTGCCCTCGTGGGTTTAAAAGCACCATAAGGTCGGGGTAAGCAAAGAATGAATAAAGTTGAAGGTCGAAAGGTCCAGAGGAAATCCAGACAGATGCCAAAGCAAAAGCAGTCTACGCCAATCCTTAAGACAGACTTCTTTAAAAGAGCTCACCAAAGCAGTTGCAAGAAACCCCATAATGTCACTCCAAGATCAGGCAAGTGTGTCTAAGCCTGAAGGGGAACAGCTGCACTTCTAATCTGGGATACAGATAGAAGACTATCTAAACAGCTAGAAATTAACACCCAAAGGAATGGCGCCCAGATATGTGATTCCAGAAACTTTACAGAGAGAGGGGAGAGAGAGAGAGAGAGAGAGAGAGAGAGAGAGAGAGACAGAGACAGAGAGACAGAGACAGAGAGACAGAGACAGAGAGACAGAGACAGAGAGACAGAGAGAGACAGAGAGAGACAGAGAGAGAGAGAGAGTTACTGTCATCACAGACTAGCTGCAGGGCAAAAGAGACAGACTTTAATGAATGAAGTTATTTTGAACATTTTTTCACATTTTGTTTTTAACCTGTGAAATGGGTCAGGGTCAAGGATATGATCCAAGTTGTGATCAAGATTTCCCAGATTAGCCACCCTTGTGCAGTCTTCCAAGAGAGGACACAAATGAAGGGAAGGATCTATGTGCACCATGAAAGAAAAGGTAGGAAGGATCAAGAGTCCAGAAAGGATTTGCACCCCTAACACTCCTCGGGTATTTAAACACCTACCTACGAACAAGACTGCTTCCAAGTGTTATTGGTAAATCAGAGCTCTCATCAGTGGCAAGACAGAAGACCTTGACCTCAAGACCAAGATTCCCTAATATGGATGGCAAAGTACACTCTCATATATCTTCATAACATACTAACATATTTTTGTTAAAGAAAATTATAGGACCATATGTAAAGTATGGCCCCATTTTTGTTTTTAAAAGCTCAATTATAGATGCATGTACTTTATGAACATAGAAAAATATCTGAAACAATATACAAAAACTTTTTTATTTATTATTTTTATTTTATGTGTATGCGAGTATTACCTGCATTTAGGTAAGTGCACCCATGTCGTGCAATGCCTGCAGAGGACAGAAGATGCTTTTGGATCCCCTGGAACTAGAGATATAGACAGTTGTTAGCTGCCATGTGGGTGCTGGGAATTGAATCTGGTTCTTCTGCAAGAACAACCAGTGTTCTTAACCATTAAGCTATCTCGCCAGCCCCATACAAAAACTTTTAACTGCTTACTCAGATGAAGGTAGGTTTGGAGGGATGGTTTTTATTTTTTACTTGATTCAGCAAATTTACTTGATTCATTTCTATGTTTTTTATAATAATTGTCTTTGCTATAACCTTTATAATAATTGTGGGTATTTTTATAACTTTAATAGTTTGAGGATTCAACCTTGGGACTCCCTAGCTGACTTTTATGGTTGCTTGTTAAAAAATAACATTTTTCTGTTCAACTTCCATGAAATCTCTTAAGGTCAAGAATTGACCCTCTCTGTGAAACAAGAGAAAAACTGAGCTGATGATTGGGGTTAAGGAAGCAAAGAAACAGGATATATATATATATATATATATGTATATATACAATCTAAGAAATATTTTTCTTGCAACCTGGTTAGGAAAATATAGAGATCAAGGCCT